TATATAATCTATTCCAAATGACAGGATAATTCTCAATAGTTCAACACCAAAATGTATTGGAATGTAACCATATACTGACAACCAACGATACTTGTTTGTCGACGCTATGTATATTGCTCCACCCCAATACCGCCGCTCGCATTGCAATCAGTCTCCAACTCTGACCTCGAAAATGTGGGGAATCAAATTTTGAGCCAATCACCGAGTTCATGAGTGATGGTCATTTGGGAGTGCGAAAGAACTAATTGACATGTGAAGCCTGGAATATATACGTACTACGTATAACGTAAAAAACAGTTTAAAATAACTTAACCAATTTAGGATAACTTTGTCTTGTCCAATCACACCTCGTTATTTGTTCAAGTCAAAAACTCTGTCATATAATGCTGACCATTCCTTCACGTGAATGAAATGCAAAAACGGCGTAGAGCAATTGGCCACAGTCATTCAAGATTGGGTTTGACGTACCCTAGTCGACATGGGCTCATTGGGTTGGATCTGAGGTTTTGTCGAGTGTTAAACTCGGTGGACATCCATCCACAACAGAAATATAACTATATAAAACAATACCCTAGTACGTGAAGTATCAATTATATGAAACCTGTTGTAACCGCTTACCCTAAACACAGAATTTCAATGCTCCGACACATATATACTTTAAGATAAAAAATGTTATACAAAATTAGTTATCAAAAAGTGAGTACAAATGCTTAGAAAGTAACAAATTTACCTGTGAAGTTAATTGTCTAAACTGATAATTCGATTATGAAGTGAAAGCAGCACGTCTTGTCTATTCGAATCACTACTCAAAACTTAAATATCGTAACGGACTCAAAAGTTATGTCCATTCTACTCCGACGCATCCAAAAAAGTTATCTTAAATGGTTTTTTACGTTAATGCCAGGTTTCTGGGCCCCGCTGCGACGGTCGCCAAGATGCCAGCAACAACAGCGGATTTTACTATGGTTGGATGAATTGAAAAGTGAAAACCTGCAAAATAAGTATAGTGCTTTGAGGAAAGCAGCGTTGTCCCACACAGGGACTTGGCCTTTGAGCAACACGGGCGAAAGCAGCTGGGGTTTGGAGACGACGTGCTCCATCAGCGCACCCAGGACGGGGTACCGGCGGCGGCCACGACGGGGTCGAGGTTGCCCTTGACTAGCGTCGCTTTACTTTCGGTTTCCAACTCGAGTATGGGCAAAGCCAAACTCGTACGTGGACGGTTTGCTCTTGGGGTACTTGGTCTGCTTGACGAGCTTCATACGCTCGACGTCCGTGCTCCCGGTCAAATATATAGAGACGAGAATGCAAGCGGGGAAATGCTCATGCACCTGGGGGTGATCAAGACGTACTTGGGGGCAATCAACGCCCCCACAACCAAGTTGGAGCTCACGTCCTTGATGCGAAGGACGGTGGTGTACAAGTACTTGCGAATGGAGGCTTTGGTGTCGTTGATGACATTGATGTCGGCCGCGCTGGCGACGGAAGCGACAACGGCAAGGGCGACGATAGTGTATTGACCATGGTCCACTTTGACGAGAATGCGACGTTGGGAGACAGAAAGTTCATTAGGCGCCCATGAACCTAAAACGTGGCCGGACAGACTTCGAATTCATAGTTAACCCAGACAAGCCAGTCTTTGGTTGTGGCTTCAACCGTAGTATGGCTATGGCGACTAAGCTTACCGGTAGAAAAGCCTTGATAAATCATTCGACTCGTCGACCTCGTGACCGTGATCAAGACTGTATAGTTGTTGCGTGATGTGGGACTATTGACACACGTTTTGCGTACTACTAACAGTAAGGTAATCCATCAACATCGCGAATGCTTTTTGTGCACTAAAATGTCAAATGTTTGAAGCACTCCACCACAAAAAGTCCCTGGAATAAAAGGAACTTTGTATGCTCAGACCATCTCACCTCTTAGTAGCGATGCAGTTAACCCCAGAGATTCAGCATCGTAAGTACTAACTGGGCCCAGTTACTGTGCTACTGACGAAAAGGTGTATCCGGATGTAATATCGTTATCCGTAATATGAGTTAGACACACTATAACTTACTCTTAATATTAGTAGTTTGTGTTCGACTCCTTCTAAATTAATACTTTTTACTCATTGGACAAAATAAATTCTGTAGGACATTTCCTATCACCCAATGATAACCTTCTAAACTAAGTACCTGGTTCCTAATCCACTCGTTATACCTATTTACAGAAGTTATCATACCATGCTGAATGGAGTTTGTGGCAGGGTGTACGTGGCCGTCGCGTGTAGGTGACGGGTAGCGACGTCGACGGCCAACTTACAGTAGCCATGCTGTAACGAGCCTTCGGGCAGTGCACATGCAGTGAAACTTTGTGTCAACGGTGTACTAATAGTTGTAGCCATGCTATTCTCGGGGTGAGCAGCTGTACAATATGCTTCATCGTGATTTCTAGTCGACGATGAGTACTCGGTTGTGAATGAACTTGTTGGAGGTGGCTTCACACCAACTTAGTGGTTTCACATTCTATAAATCTTACATATCCTAGGAAGAGATCCAAATAGTGATGGTTGCAGATACATCTTATAAGGCTTACATAAAACTACTCTTGAACAAACTACTTTGTGTGCGCATCTACTTCCTAGCTTAAGAGGTTGTGAGCCCAACATACGACAGAATTACGATCTTGTTAGACGACAAGAACTGGTCTACTTGGCGCACGTTCATCAAGGGGCGGCTAATGGGAAAGGGCCTCATCCACACACTCACGCAGCACTCGTTCAACATGTCCTCTGCCGAACGAACCTTCAAAAGCGACAACGACGACGAAGTCGCCCAACCAACGTACAGGCGCGACACGCAGAGAGCCCTCGGCATAATCATAGAGTCGATCAACGTCGACCAATCCCAACATGTGGACGTACATACCCGTGCAATGGAGGCCTACCTTGCGCTCCAAAGGCATCATGAACCCCAAACACACGTGGAAAAGATCGCTTTGCTCACGGAGTACCACGCGATCAGCTGGGAGCCCAAGCGGGAAACGCTCTCCAGCTTCATTGAGCGGTTCCAAAACCTCGTTCGGAAACTGCGCGATGCGGGATGCGCTCAAGACGAGTACATGACGGTCGCCAAGCTCTTGGCCCTCATGCCATGGTGCCTACTTATTGTATTGCATCAAATCAACTTGATGCATGAAAATTTGCAAACAGTTACTGTTGCTCGAACACTTCTCGAGGCCGAATACAAGGCCGCAGTGGCCAACCGCGCCCTTCAAGCCCCTGGCAACGCAGCCGGCGAAACACGGGCGCTTGATTCTATGGACAGCGGCCGCAGCCGAGGAAAAGGCGGTGGTCGAGGCGCCGGACGCGGCCAAATGCGTGAAGGGAACTGGCACCACTGTGGCAAAGCAGGACACTGGAAGTCCGAATACCATTCCCGACTTCGTGGCGATCCTCCTTCGGCGACGCCATCAAGACCCCAGAACGAGTAGGGCGGCGCTGCGCCAAACCAACATACATACTTGTTCGCTGGGATTGAGTCCCCGAGCCTCAGTCTAAGTGCAGTCAAAGCTGCAGACGAGATTATCATCGACTCGGGGGCTTCATCCCACATGACCGGCGCTGTAGAACACTTGTACGACACCGTGGCCTGCGACCGAACCATCATCGTCGCCGACGGCAATGTCGCCCGAGCAACTACAATGGTCAAGTTTGACATTGCCATAACAAACGGAGCGACGATGACTATTACCGAAGTACTCGTGATCGATGACATGCCCATGACTCTGGTCTCGGTCCCGGCTCTCTGTCGGTGCAATGCTGCCTGCACGGTTTCCTTCGGCAAAGAAAGTGCTCCATCGCGGTCGGCTCCACCACCATTGCCAACGGCACTCTCGAACCTCTGCAAACGTCTACGTCCTCGACGGCAAGATGTCGATACCAACTGTGGCGTCCAGCGCGACTTCAACTCCTGTCATGGACAAGTCAACAGTGTGGCATGAAAGAGTTGGACACGTACCGCTCGCGACGCTCAAGCATTGCTCCACGCTGAAGCTTGGATTGCCGACTGACCTCGTCAGCACCTTGAACACGCCTTGCCCCGCATGCGTTGTTTCGAAGATGCACAAAGTGTCTGCGCCCAAGTCCAGCACTCGCACCTAAAAACTGGAGAGTGTTCAGTGATACGAAGGGACCTATGCGAACTGAAACTGTGGGGGGATGTAAGTTCTATACCGTCTACATCGACGTGGCCTCTGGCTACAAGGTCGTTCGGTTCGTCAAGTCCACCGACGCGGCAACGCAGGACGAGAACTTCAAGCAAGTCCTAGCTTGGAGTGAATGTCAGACTGGACGTAAAGTAAAACAACTACATACCGATGGTGGCCCGGAATACGTTTCCAACGCCTTCCGCGCCTGGCTCAAGTCCGAAGGCATCCACCTCGAGCGTTCCCAACCCGACAGCCAATGGCAAAATGGGATTGCCGAGCGCTCCCACCGCACCTTCATGGAGATGGCCATGTCCATGTTGGCGCGATCCGGCCTGGCCCGTAGATGGTGGGGGTAAGCGGTTAACACGGCCATCTTCATCCAGAATCGCATCGTCCACAACACCAAGGGCTCCATGACGCCGATCGAAACTATGACGGGGCACAAGCCGACCTTGGTCAACCTCAAGGTGTTCGGTTATGTTGCCTACAACATGATCAAAGACCCGTCAAGACGGGACAAACTTGCGCCGAAGGCACACAAATGTGTGTTCATCGGCTATGCAGAAGACATGAAGGCCTACCGTTTGTACGACCTCGAAGATAAAAAAGTCACCACCGGCGTCCACGTCACGTTCCATGAAGACCAATTCCTCCACCTTCCGATCCCGATCGACACGTACTTGGCCACGGACAACGACAGCGACAGCGGCAGCGACGACGAAGGGGAGACCTTTGATCGCACCCCGAAGAAGTCGCGAACACCACTGCCAGCAACCAAGAAAGAAAACGAAGTGCGGCTGCGACTCAAGCTCCACAAGCCCTGCGCCTACGAGATGCACCAATTCCAAATGAGATCAAACAAGAACTCTGGGAAACACAACTGGACTTACACAAAGATTTGTTCGACTTCCAGAGCTTCCTACAACAAAAGGAAACAAGCACCGACAAAGGGGAGCAACCATCGACTCCCAGTGGCCACCAAGTCCCAACGACAGCGCCCGCACCGGCCCCTCCTTCGGCATTTTTGCGCCCGACGCGGGATTGACGTCCGCCAGTGCGCTTCGACGACGAAGACTTCGACCGAACCCCACGCGACCAAGCATCCACCATGACCTATGATGGAATTGAGTACCTGTGTTCTGCACTTCCATCCATAGATGACGACGTACCTCAGTCGCATGGAGAGGCAATGTCTTCCCGCGAGAAGCTGCAATGGCGCGACGCAGAACTCCGCGAACTCACAAAACTGCGGGAGCAAGGGACTTGGACCATGACGGCGCTGCCGGTGGGACCCAAGGCAATTGGGAACAAATGGGTGTACTCGAAGAAGAAAGACGCCGATGGCGCAGTCGTGGCGTTCAAGGCACGTCTTGTCGTGAAGGGCTTCTCACAAGTCGGAGGCATTGACTTCGATGTCACCTTCTCGCCCATCGTCAAGGTGGCAACGATCCGGCTGATCATGGCCTGGATTTGCGCTCGTGCGCTCGTGGCGGTCCAATGTGAAGCCAACAATGCCTTTGTCCAAGCCAACATGCCACCAGAAATCCAAATCTACATGCAACAAGGCGAAGGTTACAACGATGGATCGGATCTGGTCTGCCTACTACTCAAGGCACTATGGACTGAAACAAGCATCACTTGCATGGTACTTGCATTGCAAGAAGATCATGATTGCCCTCGGTTTCATGCCAAACCAGCACGACCCATGCCTGTTCCTACGCTCCATCGATGGCCAGCTGGAAGCCGTCTGCACATATGTCGACGACTACACATCATCGCGGCGGCGACGACCGCACGCACCGAAGCCATCATGGCCGAACTGGAAAGCAAGATGGACATCAAGCGGCAAGGAGACCTACACTACATCATTGGAATCATGATTGAACGCGATCTGGTCAAGAAAACTCTTACCATGTCCTCAGGCGCCTTTGCTGAACGTGTCCTCAAGCGCTTCAAGTTCCACGAATCGCACGGTCAACCAACGCCCGAAGCTGAAGACACTGACGGCACCTGGAACGACCCCAACCAACCAGCGACGGACGAATCGGAGTTCCGCGTCATCGTCGGCAGCCTGATGTACCTCACGACCTGCACGCGGCAGGACATTTCGCACGCGGTCCAGCGCCTGACTCGGCACATGCACGATCCACGACTGCCACACCTAGTTGGAGCCATACGGATTTTGAGATACCTCCGTGCAACGACGGACATGGGAATCACCTACCGTGGACAAGACATGAATCTCGTGGGCTACAGTGACGCAAGCTGGGCGACGAAACCCGACCGGAAGTCCACCAACGGCTTCGTGTGGCTTATGTGCGGCGGCGCGGTGTCGTGGAAATCGGCCAAGCAGCGGATCCTGGCACTGTCCACCTGCTAGTCCGAGTACGTGGCGGTGGTGGAGGCGACCAAAGACTGCATCTGGCTCAGCGGCATCCTCAACGACCTTGGCGAGACCCAAGCAACGACGACACTCTTCTGTGACAACAAGGCGGCGATCGTGAAGGCCCAGAACGACTCCACAAGCGCCCGCTCCAAGCATATTGCGGTCCGCCACTACTTCATCCGCGACGTCATCTCCAGCGGTGCCCTCAAGATGGTACACGTCAGGAAGGCGGACATGTTCGCGGACGTCCTGACTAAGGTGTCCACTCGCCACGCAATCGACAAATTCAAAAATGACGTCATGTGCAACGGCCGAGAACGCGGTGTTGCCGCATGTACACGCCCACGCGCATGTTGGTCGCGTGTCTGTTGGTTGCGGCGGCGGTGGCTGCGAGCGTTCTCCTCGGGTACATTGTCAGTGACAGAAATCCCGCCAATCATCTCAAGCGTGACACCAAGAGAGAACCCTCAGTGGCCAACCGCCAAGTTGAACAACAAGGGGCTGAGACACGCGACAACTAGGTTGCAAGAAAAGCAACCGCCTCAAGCTCAAGCAGTTGGCGCGGTGTGCCGCCACAGGGGAGTGTTGGAGGTGGCTTCACACCAACTTAGTGGTTTCACATTCTATATATCTTACATATCCTAGGAAGAGATCCAAATAGTGATGGTAGTAGATACATCTTATAAGGCTTACATAAAACTACTCTTGAACAACCTACTTTGTGTGCGCATCTACTTCCTAGCTTAAGAGAACTAACGAAGCTAGACCCCAGCTACGGGTTCGAAGTAGCATTTCAGGTGGCATACGTGCATGTGATGAAGATGAGTGCATTGATGAGACCCGCTACAGCTCAGCTTGTAGCTGGAGTGTTGGAGCGTGATCATCACCGTCCATAACATGAAATATCCGACCGATAGCGGTCATCTACGAAAAATACTGGGGTATACTTAATTCAAAATAAAGGCAAGGGCTAAAGCTATTGTATGTTAACAAATACTGAAACTTGCAGTATTTGGTGCACGATGTACTTGCAGTCTGCAAGTACATCATGTCTGCAAAGCTATCCGTCATTGACGAGAGGCTACGCATACCTTGTCCAGGTACCAACTTCGTATACCTATTGTATAACCTAGATTAGTAGGACTGTTCCTCTACCTGCCTGAAAGAGCAATACAGTACTACAGTACAAGTAGCAGTCGAACAGATACATTATATGATCACTTCTGTGCTATGGCTCTACTATTCTGGACATCTTTATAGCAAAGGAAATCTAGACTAATCAATCCGACAAGTTTTCAGGCATTCCCACTCCCACGAAGGCGAGTGAAAGTGTGGTGGCCAAGTCGAAATTGCAGAACACAAATGAGGTTTCAGATAATGCTATTGATATTGATATTACGCTGTTAAGTTAAAATCACTCAGCGGGCCCTTAATGGCCTCGGCCGCGTACTAGCTGCATTGGCAGCTAGCGGACTTAACTACTTGCAAACCTAGTTGTGGCGGTTCCAGGGGATACGGATACTTAGGCCGCTGGAGGAGGCATCCTTGGGCCCGGAGGCAGTCGTGGTGGCCGAAGTCGAGGGTCGGCGTAGCCTACGCGAGGGGGGAGGGCGGGGGGTAGTGAGGAGATCCTTCGAATGTGCCATTGGAGCGTCTTGGCTGCAAGGTGAGTCCTGCGGGCACGGATGTGTCGATCATGGCCCATGGGGGCGGCATCATGGTAGCGGCGTTTGAGCCGGATGTTGTTGTTTATTTCTGTGAAGAGGGGTAGTTCCCCTGCGGTGCGTATGTGGTCCACATTAGTAGTGCATGTTGATTGCCAGTGGCGGCGAAGGGCGGGCCAGTGCGCCGTGAACCATTGAGTATGGAGGCGGGGAGTGTGGAGGTGGGTGTGGGTGGCTGCCCAGGCTCGTTTGGTGTGTGTCATGGTGGGGAAGGTTTTCCAGCCGGAGGTAGCTTGGTATATGGCTGGAAACTGTGTCGTAAGGTATGCGCGTGTGCCAAGGGCATATTGGTCGTAAGTGGGGATGGAGGATTGGACCCAGTGGACGCAGTGTGTGGGGGCACTAAGTAGCCGTGGGATGGCTGTCATGGTAGTTTCTTCTGGGCGGAGTTGAGTGGTCGGGGGGGCCGACGTAGCCAATGGATAGCGTCGGTTAATGTTAGTGCTGATGTCCAGTGCTGCTGGGCAGAGGTGAGTAGGGCTACTGTGTTGCCAGTGGTGATGAAACCAATGTGGATTGCGGTGGGATTGCCGGAAGCGAGTTTGCCCCAGGTTGGGGTAGGGGTGTGGTAGATGGAGGAAACGAGGTGGAGTTTGATCTGGCCCGGGGGAATGGTGAGGAGCCCTGTTGTTTGGAGCTGTTCAGCCATTACATGGCCGCAGGAGCCATCGTGTACGACAAATCAGTAGGTGGCCGGTGTTTGGTGGGAGGTAGCGGCCTGTATTGCCGTGGTTAGTAGGCGCCGCCAAGTGGAGGTGTACAGGTTGTGTGTGGCATCAATCCACCAGTGATGGTTTGTTGGGGGGTGGGGGATTATGCAGTGGGGGGAGTGTCCAAGTGGGCCCTGAAAAGTAGCACCATTGGGGCCGCCCATCCACTGACCAAACCAGAAGTCGCGTGGTGCAAGCAGGGGGGTGGAGCGTGGGGCGGTGTGATATAGCCAGCGCGGTAGTAGGGAGCCCGGCTTTGGGCACTGGTTAGATTCCCAGGAGAGCTGGGAGGTGGCTAGCATGAAGGATTCTGGTCGGGGGGTCCAAGGAGACGGTGCATGTGGAGGGCATGTACACAGCGGTGCGCGGTAAGGGGGATCAGGCACATACCCGTGTGGGGTGATGGGTGTCCGCCGCGGGTTTTCCATTGTGGGCATTTTGGTCCAGGCCATAGTTGCGCTATGGTCGTGCCATGTCCAGGAATGTACTGTATATGTCTTGGTCTGGGAGCCAGCCTTGTGGAAGGACCGCTTGTGTAGCGAGGAGGATGTGTTGGGATAGTGGAACGGCCTTGGGGCAGGTGGGAGTTGTGAGGCCGAATCGATGTTCCTGCGTGTCATGGGGATCGGGGCACGTTCGGCAGTGGGCCTCCCAGCGTGGTTGTATGCGGTGTTTTCGGGCGTTGGTGTGTAAAGTATAGCAGATGGCACGCCAGTAGAAGTTGAGGGCAGGGGGGTCCCATTTACAGATGTCCCCGGTGGGGAGTCGGAGTGGCTGAACAGTCCGGCGGGTGTCTGGTTTTCTGGCTTGCACCTTGGGCCAATCCCAACGACCGTACACTGCACCCAGCCATGGGGCCGACGCCCCGGTGACCGGCCTGTCGTGTTCATCACGTAGCTCCCAGGAGTCTGGGATAATGAGGTGCGCATAATTCGTAAGGGGAAGAAGCTGGTGGGCTAGGGTGGCAAGGGAGTCCGCTTCGGCGAGCAATAGGCGTTTTGTACGGAGGATGGGGTCAGTCGTGTCATCGGGGTCCTGGTGCGATCGGATCCAGTCGCCGGTAAAGGTTCCGGTGTCTGTGAAGAGCGCCATGAGTGAGCGGAGTTCGACTCGACCCTGTAGATGTTGCTGTATCGTGGGAGGCCGCCGCGGCGTTTTAGGGATCTGGCGAGAACAACCAATCCAATGGCTTTTGTGTTGTCGCAGATTTGGAGCGAAGCACCTCCAGAGTGATGGAGGCCCGCCAGCAGGCTATGGAGTTCACAGCGTGTGGGTGTGATGTGGTTGGCGTGTACTTGGATGGACCCAGCGAGGGTAGTACCGTCTCTGCCTATGTAGCTCCATGTACCGTGCGCGGCTGTCATTCCTTGGTGCGTGACGCTGCCGTCACCCACCGCATGGGTGCGTACATCCCGTCGGGGGAGGGTATGTAAACCGTACGTCGGTGTGCTGTGGTGCGGAACGACGCGGCAGTGTGGGATGCAGGCCGGGTGATGTCATCCTCCACAGTCGAGACAGATGGTAGTGTCCGCTAGGCGGTGACAGGCGGTACAGGCCGGCGTTGCGTGCAGGGGGGGCTGGTGCCCCGTAGGGTTCGGTACCAGATCAGTAGTTCTCCCGGCAGTTAAGGCAATGATGGTACGATTGTTTTCCCCTTTGTGGGTGATGTGTGTGCGCGGGTTGGTCCAGGCCGTGTCGGTCCAGGGAACAAACTTGAGGCGTTGGGCTCGGCTGGTGGGTAGGCGGCTGCCTGGAAGGACAGCACAGCCCGTAATGGGTACAAGTCGGTGTCGGCCTCGTGCTTCGCGCGGTGTTGGGGAGTACCAGATGTCCGAGTCTTTACGTAGTTCATGCCAGAACTGGTGACGGCAAACTCCGTGCCCTGCTGGGTTTGTCGTGTTTGGAGACTGGCTCGACGTCCAATGCGGTAGCTGAGGGTGGGGAGTCGGTTATCCGGATGAGTAAGGTGGTGGGGGATTACTAGCATGGCGTGAACCGGGATATGTAGAGTTTCGTAGCCCTGTGTGGGGGTAAAATATGTGCGACCGAGTGGGTGTGTGAGGTATGGTAGGGACGTGCGATATGGGGTTGGGTGGCAGGGTGGGGCCCCCACTGGAGCGTTTGTTGCCGAAGTACCGGTGGGGCGGGTGGCTCAGCTTTGGGGATAGCGTCCCAAATGGGTGCAAACCGTTGGAGCGTGAGATTTGACCATCCAAATTTCGTACGGAGAGACGGTAGGCTGAGCAGCATGGTGCCCTTGTCATTTGTAATGTCCCCCACCCAGCGTACCTTTTTGACGTGGAGCTTGTTGATTGAGATGAGGGTCGTGCTTAGGGCCGGTGGGAGGTGTGCCCAGATTGGACGGTCATTTGGACGAAGTGGAAGGCTGGCGGCTGGTTGGAGCCATTGCGTGGTGATGGTGAGGGCTGGCTGGAAATTGGCAAGGTCCCGGAGCATCGTGCCGAGAAGTGTGCAGTCTGCGGCAGGTGGAGGTATGCGGAATGCAAGGGGGTGGTCGGTAAGCCCGCTATCCAGTTGATAGGCCTCGAGTGATTGCATGAGGAGGTCATGTGTAGGGGAGCCACGGTCGTTGGCAATACGGAGGAAGTGGTATAGGCGTTGGCTGTGGCTGAATCGTTCACAGTGGACCAGTCCCAGTCCATCGGTAGGGTCATAGAACCACTCTGTGGGGTAGCTTGAGGACCCTGCGCGCCGTCTTACGGAATATGGTGTCAAGGGCTGGTGCGATGCTGATGGCATCACTGATGGCAGTGCGGTAGAGGACACTCGGTATCCAGACGGAGTTGATGATGTACACGAGTTCTTTCTTTCTTAGCCCCCGGGGGGCTACGGCTTGGGTGTTGAGTCGCTGCCATACCGCACGCGTGGTCTCTTCCCATTGGTTGTCGGTGCCTTGATGGATACCTAGATGGCGGAAACCCTCGGAGGGTGCGACCACGCGTATGGGTTGTGGAATGCCAAGCCCGTCGTTGAGGGCAATGCCCGGGTGTGCGTGGGGGGATAGGTAGAGGAGGAAGGATTTGTCAGCACCAAATACTCCGCCGGACGCGGATTGGCCGGTGAATGTGTTGGAGATGCGTGCTCGGTCTTGTATGCCAGCATAGGTGGTCGCGATGTCGAGGGCGTCATCCACGAATAAGGGACTGGAGATGGTGCGGGCCTGAGGGTGTTGGCTGTGCACAATGCGGACAGGGTCCAGGCCACTGTGTTGCTGGCGTAGGAGGACGTCCATATAGTATCCAATATGCATGACCGCTAGGATAGAACCTTGGGCCAGTCCGAATTCCCGGATGCCGCCATCGAGCCAGCCGAAAGCCGTGCGGATATCGATTTGACTGGCCCCAAGGAAATGGGCCATGAGTTGGCGCGGGAGGGGGGGACACAGAGTTTACGGTAGATGTATTCCATGACCCAGCCTGGGATTCTGTCGAAGCATTTGAGGCAGTCCTTTGAAATAAGGAAGAGTTCTTCCTGCCGGCGTTCGGCACGTTCGATAAGGAGTGAGGTAAGGACAGCGGCGTCCTGAACTGTGCGGTCTCTCTGGAAGCCGTGTTGCATTTCGTGGTTGGGGATACAGGGGGTGATGTAGTCCCGTATAACGGTAAAGATTCGACTGCCGAAAGCATTTTGGACCGTGATGGGGCGCCAGGGTGGAAGTCCAGGGTCTAAGTTTACCACCCCGTGGGCTGTTTCCATTTTTGCAAGGTAGATCATCTGTTTTCGTCCGAGTATCGGCGGGACTAGGCCCGTGCGTAGGATGAGGTTGATGATCACCCGTTCCCTGGCTCGTATGCATGCAGGGGCAGCGATCCAGAGTTCCTGAGAGACGCCCCCATATCCTGGGGATACGCGTGTGCGTAGGCTGCGGTCGCAGCGGGCTTGCATGTCTTCATCGTAGTGGTAGGTGTCCCATGTAGTGCCCGCAGGGGATTGGAAGGCTTTTGCTACTTCGTCGGGCCGGTCCATGTCCTGGAGTAGCCAGTCGCGGACGAAATGGGGGACATTTTGGCGGTCGGTCTCAAGTCCTGAGTCTAGGTGCCTGGGACGCGTTGTTTTTTTCGCCGGGGGATCCAGTTGTCCAGAAGGTGGCGGAGTCCTTCCGCCACTTCGTCGCGGTCGGAGCTGTATCGCGGAGGTCCATCGGTTGGGCGGACAATGAAGCTTTGTATAGAGATGGGTGGTGCAGCATTGCCCAGGGCCGAGCGGAGAAATTTCCGGGTTTAACTGCCGTTAAACCAGGCCGTACGTTGTTGCATCCGTGTTTGACGTAGGCTGGTAGTTCGCCAGTCCCGACGTTTGCGGCAGACCTTGGGCCAGCGTGCGAGGCCCTGTCTGAGCCAGTGGTCCCAGTCGGGAGTGGGGTGCTGTGTGGTCGGCATGGTAATCCACCATTCACCTATGGCAATAGCATCGGCGCGGTGCCACTACGTGGGGGGGAGGAGGGTGGGGTCACGGATCCACTTGAGCCATTCCACTAGGTGGGCTAGTCGGGTGTATTCCGTGCCAGTGCGTGGGGCCGCCTCGTGGAGGCGCAGCAGTTGGCGGAGCTGTGCAGTGCACCGGTTGGTTCGCTGTATCGCGACTGCCCTGTTGAGGGCTTTCCTGGTTTGGCTGGTTTCACCCCATTTGAGTTTCGCACTGTTGTAGAGGATGTCGTACAGGTTGCGGATTGCGCCATCGAGCCAGTCCCCGATTTCCTGGGGGGACCATGCTGTGACGGCGTTAGGGGGGGTGCGGGGGTGAGTTGGGGTAGTTGGCCCCAACTCACCCCCGCACCCCCAGATAACGGTCATTCTTATGCTTGCAAATGATGTTACCAGGTAGAGCGTGTCGCACACAGTACGCAGTAAGAGTTGTGTAGTTTACACCGTGATCTTGCGGTCGCCAGAACGGAAATTTCATTTCTTCGGGCAAATTTTGCTTTGATGCTGGGTACTGGACACCCCATCCCACATAGGGTTTGGTGTGGGCTATAGAGTGTGATGAATGACACAGGAAGAGACACAATGTTGAATACGCTATTCTAAACTAGTATTGACTGTGAACTCAACTCTCGTGGTTGGTAGTGCTTTCTGGCGGCTGTAGAAGAATGGAAAGTGTCACAACACTTTGGTCGTGGTGCGGTTTCTTCCATAACCTTTTCCTAAGAAGCAATACAATGCAATGCCATTCTGTGATGTGCTATCTATATCTAAGCAATGAGACGAGTACATTGCGCTTGAAAAGAGCTCAATTCGATCAAAATTGAAGATGCCACGGGTGATTTTAAAATTCACTTATCGGTGCTGTGTTTGGAGAAGTGATGCGAAACAAAAAAAAGATCTAAAAATAGCTATCTATTAGTCCTGTCATTGGCTATAATTATGCAAAATTAAGCCTTTTCGGGTTATGTCCGCCTGATAAATCGTTCTGAGAATTATATGTCTCCAGATTTGCGGAATGGAGGAAGTACTATCTATGTATGGCAGTACTGTAACGATGGGTCAGACCCTGTTGAATTATTTCACCATTATCAGTATAACTTGATGTTTGTATAGGCATAACCCATAATGGCCACAAAGATGACCAACCTAACCCTACCATAACCCTACCATAACCCTCGCATTTTTATTGGTTGGAAATTATACTAAGAGTGACATGATTGGCTAGAACAGGAATATAATTATGTGATTCGTTGAAGTAATCTCATACAAATAACAAGTGAGGTCTGAGGTGACCCATTATTCTACCATAGCCATGGTACTCGACACATTCCCATTGAAAATACAATGTTCTGGTTGGTTAGATAACTAAACTCGTTTTTTACAAAATAACTTGTATAAATTTATGATGAAGTTACACTTAATATTTTTTTTGAGGAGTATCTATGAGGTATTTATAGCTGTATTGTATGTCTAACTGAAAAAGGCAAAACCGCACTTAATCCAGCAGTATCCGTATACGGATATTGTTATATTGCTAACTCTTATTACGGAAGACGGTAAGGTAAACCATCAATATCGCGAACACCTTTTGTGCACTAAAGTGTCAAATGTTTGAAGCACTCCACCACAAAATGTCCCTCGAATAAAAAAAACTAAGATCGTGTTCGGACGCACCAAGAATACGGTTATTTCGTGGATTCAGACTCTGGAATCCGATTTTTTGTGTTGGATTGACAAAAATAAAAACCGGATTCTGGAAACCATCGATTTTGATGGTTCTTGGAGGGATTGATTAGTATTCTGCTTTTCAGACGGAGTTTGGGGTTTCGGGGTGTTATATTTATTCTCCATTTATTCTCCGAGTACTCACAGTGATGAAAGGAACGTCGCAGCCGTGACTACATGTGATCAAGTTGTCCATCGCATGGTGTTTCTTCGCCAACTATTTAACTAGTCAACATGTAAGACCGTATTCATCTTCGTAGGAGATGAATTATATTCCTGCAGCGCAGAATGGGCTCCCCACTCGCTGAGTCAACAACTGATGTGTATGCAACTGACAAAAGCTACGTAAACTTAGACACACAGTTACTTATATCTCATCCTTGTAGAAGTCGGTACCAAGCTACTTGTATCTCTCCTTGCACAACTCAATGTGTTGGTCAAAACCCGCTACGAAGTCGTCGCACCATCGAATGGACCTTGAATGGCGAAGTGGATATCTTGCCCTCCAGTAAAGTTATATGATATGTAGCTACATACATATACAGTGGGTCTCAAAAGTCATCATACCCCAAAGAATTCGATACTTAAAGCAAGTGAATTACTGTAGGCACAATTTGTTACTTTTGCCTTGTACACCTGAAAAACACTTGGTTTTAGTATTGGATTAATTAAATTCAGTTCATTTTTCGAATTTGAGACTTTGAACCGCCCTAGTCGACATTAAACGTGATTATATCGAGTATGTTCCAATGGTAATGTTGTTGCCAAGTACATTGAGAAGGACATCTTCATTTGTTGTAAACTGTAGAACTGTGTTCATACGGAGATACGAGCCTTCTCCGAAGCCTCACCCATGAATAACCTATTTAACGCAAATGTAATCTTGAAGTTTGAAAAACTGACTTGGCACACTATGCCTACAGTATTTTCTGAAATTTCAAGACCAAATTCACTTGTTTAAGTATCGAATTCTTTGGGGTATGATGACTTTTGAGACCCACTGTACTTCTTCGTCTATGATCACGCTATAATCGCGCACTACGCTTGCAGCGGAACGCGTCGTATTCTGTAAACCCGGCGCAATCGCCGCCAAGAAAACGTCTACATGGCCGATTTTTGTGCATGGCGAAATGCAAAATTTCGGTCAGAATACTTGAATAATTCAAAATAGCACATTGTATTTCGTTTTATCTGACTGTCAAATGCCTAAAAAGAGTAGCCATAGATAGTGGAGCCAATCAAAAGGAGCAAAAACAAATGTAGACCAATGATATAGTTCCATTGACCAGGATGTGGCCAATAGAATACCAGTATTCTTGTGAATTTTCGGCATTTGGGTGACAGAGTTCCAATCGTGTTGTTTGGTGCAACGTTTTGACACAATCCGGATTCAAAAACCTAGATGATCATACTCAGGATTCTGGAGTCAGAATCCATTTTTGCTCCGAACTCGTCCTAAGGGTAGCGTTGGAAAATATAGATCCAGCTGGAGTTGTTAGTGCCAAGGAATGTCTTAACTGTAATAATGATAATCCAAAACTCAATTAACCACGAGACTTGTCCGTAGCGATATACGTCTCAGGTCAACTCTTGTGTGTACTGTCTACTTTACTACGTAACGTTAGTCTGCCTCTGTCCGGAAATGCTACTGTACTTGTAGCTCCAATTGAAAATCTGAGTTTGTACCTCTAGGTGAGCCCGTTGCTCTGCCGCCGGTGTTAATTGTCTGTTGGAGCAAGATATGTAGTTGTTGTTGCTACTTATTGTCGTCGTAGTTGAGCCTGGCATAGTTTTCAGACACTTTATATTTTTATTATGCGTTTTCAAAACTCTCCTATTTGCGGTTCAACGGGGTCCGGGATTTTGGGAAAAGATGGGAATCATCCCTTTTGCGGTGTGGTAGAAACCTTGCAGGTATGCTAACACTAAGTCGTGAATCTAAATTCACCAACGCTGTGATCTTTGACGCGTGGCGTGTTGACTTGAAAGCAGTTATTTCCACCTCTCAGGAACATCCGATAGCGCCGCCGTTTGACACACGACGTGTATGTCAGAATGCATGTCGGTGCCAACTTGCGGGTATGTCCAATCGTATCGCTAATTATCTCGTGACATGTTGTTCAGAACACAGTCGGCGCCATCTCGCGGTCACTCCAATAGCTTCACAGATGGACTTGTGATATGTTGGTCAGAGTACAGTCGACCCATCTTACAGGCATGACCGCTGTGTTAGATGTGGTGAACAGTACGACCTTATACACTTCGGAAGGATTTCGTCATTCCAGAATCAGTGTTTTCGAACTACCGCCGTGTTGTGTGGCATCACACGAGGAAAAATAATGCTGTAGAAACTTGGTGTGCAGGGTGGTTTGCTTCGTTGAGTACAGGAAGGGTTTCGGACCTGTACATATTTGTGTTGAACAACGTCACGAACAACAGGTCCGCCTACACACTTTGGACGGTGGATTCTACGTTACCACGGCGTTGTATGGAATGAAACTACGAACAACGTGTCCGTCCGGGGTCCTTCATGTGAAGGACAATGTGCTTCTGGAAACAGTAGGCTTTCCCACCTACGCTGCAGTGAAAAAGTGATGCATACAATATTTGGGGTCAAGTGTTGGGTAGGTATTGAAAATAGCTAGGGTTTCCTATATTTGATATGATGGTTGATGATACGATAGGGGAAATACGGCATGGTACGTATGATGCAGAATAGTTTATTTGCTTCACAAAGCATATTGTGCTCATGACTGTCATGTGAATGGATGTGTGCACGATATTTAGAAAGAATGAATTCCGTGTTATGGAGTAATTAATTTTCGTCGTTGGCAAAAATGGAGCGGTACACGACGTTCTGGGTGTAGATTCCTTCGAATCCGGGGAACTTGCCGTCCCGCACTAACTTTTGGCTCGAGACAGTGCAACATACAGTTGTCCATGAGAGAACACTGGGCTTGGCAAGATAAGTCCCACGCGACTTAACGTTTGGCCCTGAGACTTGTTGATGGTCATAGCAAATGCCAACAACTTCACTGGAAACTGGCGTCGCTTCAACTTGAAAGGGAGGTTGGTTTGGCTGCCCTTGTCGACCAAGGTGATGCGCGGTACGAAGACTCGCTTGTTGTCAAATGCACCGCCCATGATAGTTGCCTCGATGCACTTAGTTGACACTTTGACGACCCGCAATCTTGTCCCGTTGCATAGGCCCTGGGAGGGGCAAATGTTGCGCAAAAGCATGACTGGACATCCCACCTTGAACTCGAGCTTGTGCGGTGGCAAGCCGGATATGTTGATGGAATTCAGGAACTCGGAGGGAAATTCTATGGCCGTGTCGTCAACATCCTCGCCTTCTTGCTCGACTGAATCGGCTGAGAGGCAAGTGAACATGACAGAACTGTTCATCTTGCGCAGCACTTTGGCGTTGTATTTATCGACCCCGACGTTCTTGGGTGCCCAAATCGCTCGTTCAGACATGTACTCCGGGGGGTTGGCCGGGTTATTGATGTCGCCATAGATTTGGTCGATGTACGCGTTCAGGTCTTGATCGGTTTCCCAGTTCCTGGCAATTGCATCCGGCAGTCGGATCATGGGAGAGCCGTAGATCTCTTGTTCTGGATATGTTCCGTTTCCAATGTCAGCCAACGTCTTGGCCCATTCCTCGATACTTGCGTCGTCTGATCCACCACGCAGCCGCATGTTCTTTGTCAGCTTGACAATTTTCACGTCGTTCCAGATGCTGCTGCGTCTGAAGGAGGCCTCCACGTGGCCGATGGTGTGCCGCGTGGAAGGATTGGCAGGATTTGCTTGAAAACGCCCGAGAAAACAACAACCTTGCCGCCAAACAGGGCTGTGGGATTGTCCCTGATGTCGCGAATGGAACAGTCGACGGCCTCCAAGGCATGCTTGTGGATCATTGAGACCTCGTCCCATACAATGAGCTTGGTGTCTCGAATGATCTTTGCCAATGACGACTGCTTCGGAATGTGGCATAGGGACTTGTCGTTGAGGGTGGTAACGGGGATTTTGAATCGCGAATGTGCCGTTGTGCCGCCCATAAGCAGCAAAGCTGCCAGCCCAGACGATGCCACAACAAGCGCGATGTCCCCTTTGTCGCGCACTTTTGCCAACAGGATTTGAGAGACGTACGACTTTCCTGAGCATCCTTCGCCTTGGAGGAAGTACGCATTGCCTGATGCGTGCTCGTATATTTGGGCCAAAACGGTGGCCACAAAGGACCTGTGCTCGTCAGTCATGGTCGCAGCAGTGGCCAACACGTCGTTGAGGGCTGCACGCGTGTACGACGTTTCAATGACATAAAGCCGACTTCTTGGATCGTCCAGTAGTTGCCGTTCGCCCAAGTCTCGGAATATTTTGAATTCGTGGAGTTGAGGTAACGTCTGGTAGTCCAAAAGGCTCAGCCGATGATGTTGGAATCAGTTGTCGATGCTCTTGAGTGTGTAGAACATCGCCTTGCCAAGCATCATGTCTTCACTGAGTGGCTGTGGGAGTGCTTCGTTGCAGCGGCGCAGGACCCGAAGCCGCTTGTCCATGAAATCTGCTTTGAATTGGTCAAACAGAGCTCGCGTGTTCGCTGGCAGGCAATGCACCAAGATTAAGGTTGGCAAACAGTTCGTGCAGCTGTCCGTCTATGCAGTCCAACGTGGCTTGTCGAATACATACCACATACTCTTCGTCGTTTTCCAACAGACCCATGGACAGTGCAGCTTCTTCGTACGTTGGATACAGAGTTCCGTGAACTGTGCGCAGATCTTCGAAGGAAGTTGGTCCATACTTATGGCAAAGCAGGGTTCGAATGTAGAACCGCTTCTTTTGACGCGGACTGACCGAATCAATGCGGCCAATGACCTTGATGTGGTTCTTGCGTCCAACCCACAACTTGGTCTTTTGGTCAAATCGGAAGTACTGCGGGAAGTCCAAGTACAGGCAGTTCCTTGCAGGAACGCCGTCGCTCCCGGTCAAGCCTTGCGCGCAAGCGAGGAATAAGGATATCAATTTGGTCTTTTGGTTCCGGGCAACGACCGATTCTGCGTCGTGGGTTTCGTCGTAGGTGCAATGCTGTTGATCTTTCTCGAGCACGGGCAATACTTCGACAGCGTGGGACATCCCTTGCAGGTCGTAGCAGCGGATGCGTGTGATAGCTTCGAGGGAGCTCCCGTAGCGTCCTTCAACGTACTCCCGTGCTTTGTCAAGCATGGGCTGGCGTTCCTGGTCGGTGAAGACAGCGTACGTAATCCGATCGCTGCCCTTGTACACCTACTTGTACAGATACTTGACGGTGTTGATGCTTGTGCAAACCTCGACGTTGATGTGGCAGTTGTACTTGTGCACCAAGTACGGGTTGTGTGGCACACAGTACTGGTCTGCCGCCGTGTCGCGACGGTACTTGGCATATCCATCGACCCCCTCAGTTGTGGTAGCTTGCAGGGGCTGCGGAAAGCCTTTCTTGCACTTGCCAGTCTTGTCAGTGCAAGCCCTCGCACTTGGAATAGGCTGTCCATTGTCGTCGTATTGCACATGCGTGCACGTATGGGTCATGAAGTTCTTCACTAACTCGTGTAGCTGGGGGTTCTTGATCTCGTCTGGGATGCGCGCGGATACCACATAGTTGATGTCATCGACGGTCCTAAACTTGTCTTGGTCTTCCATGATGAGGAGCATGTGCACATGCGGCAAGCCACGCTTTTGAAACTCTTCAACACGCACGGATGCGACAACCTTGCCAAGGACGTGTTTCTTGTGGATGTCATCCTCGAAATACGTTAGCTTCGACTGAAACACGCATGTGACAATATCATCGCGTTCAGCTGACGTTTGATGGGGCTTGAGTTGACTGATGATCTCCGGCCAATTGGGGTTGCACGTCATGGTGACGAAGAGGCATGACTTCCCGTACTTGCGCGCGCAATTGCCATGGCGTTGAAGTAACATTTCTTCATGCAACGCTTGCCGCCAGTAAAGCTTGAAGGCACGATGGACTTGATGCCGACGTTGTGGAGCCCTGAGCGTCTCTCGGCGGCCTCCTTTACGCTTGCGTACAAATCGAATCGCAACTTGTCTCTGTTCTGCGAAATGTAGCGCAGCCTGTTGGTTTACACGCGAACGAAGCTGACCGTAGTGTACATCTTGAACAACATGGAGGATCGGTGCAGCATGTCGGAGAAGTCGCCGCCGTCTCGTTCTTGAAGCCAGTAGTTGAAGAACGCACGGAGAGACAATGCTTTCCCGTCGGTCTTCGTCATGGTGTACTCCCATCCAGAACCTCCCATTGGAAACAGGAGGGGAAACTGCAACGCGTCGTGAAGTGGATTCGTTTCTCGAATGGTTGTGAACCGGTTCGAGTTCAGACTTTGCAGAACGACATGACGGCCTTCTGTGGGTTCGCTGCCGCCTCCCTCCATGATTACCGCAAGCTGAGCCACGGTAGGCAAGTTGTGTGTTTGAGCCTGCGCGCCACCAACAGCCTTCAGGACAATTTGAAGATTGCCCCCCGATGTCCCGTACGCTTCCGCTCAACGCAAACGTTCTTTGGCAGTTGCATACGTTCTCGCCAATGGGTTGTGGAGATCCATCACTCGCTGTATCGTGGTAGTATACCGCGAACTGAACGCCGGAAACATGTTTCGTCGGTGTTGAAGTTGCTCCTCGCTGGTGTTCATGAAGATTTGGGCAAAACTTGGTTGTCGCAGGTTGCCACTTCTGTTCAGGCTGGGCTGCAACAGACCAATGTTGTGGGTCAGCTGGCCTTGAATACAATACGTCTTGGGGCCGCTGCCGCTGTGCCTGACCTCGTTTGTTCCAATGGAAGTGAAGTTGAACTGAGCGTTGTACTGACGGATGTGCTCGATGAAGTTACGCTGCTTGAAGAGATCTTTGAACGCTTGCATTTCTGGCGAGTCGGGGTAAACGTAAGGATCCATCTTGACCTTGCCCTTCAAACAACAAGGAAGGTTCTTGTAGTTGTGGGGTGTCAACTTTGCTCGGCGGTGCGAGCACGTCTTCGTTTTCCCAGGAACTTGCACCCGTGTGTGACCACCTTCCTCAAATACTTCGTACAATTGCCGTCCGACGGAATTCACAGGGATTCGGCATGGAGGCCGCGCTTGAATCGCATCTTGGACGGGAATTTGAGAAAGGAACAGTGGATCTCCGCCAAGATGGAGGGCGTCCTCGATGAATTGAACCTCCCCATGAATGACCGTGGGGTCTTCCTTTGGTCGAAAAGGATACGGCTCCAGCGTCAGATGAAGGCCGATGTCGTCGAGCACTCCCTAGACGAACTCAATTTCGACTTAGTGCCTCTGGGTCATCCAATGGCTGAAATGGACGCAAGTTGAGCTGAAAGTCCAAAACCGCCATCTCTTCACGGCCTAACTGCCACACTGTCCTGGTGATCTTGGGCGTAGAATTGAACTTCGCCTTCCCGTATGTCGACGCCGTCGCTACTGACTTCGCCCCTCCCTGGGCTTGCAAGGCTGTCACATGATTATCCGACCAAGGAGCAGATTCAAGTTATACGCAGTACGACTCAAACATCCCATTATATAATGGAAAACCTCGCTACCTGAAAAGGATTTTTCGAAGGTAGCGAACGTTAGGTCAAAGGAAAAAATTAACTTATCGTTTCACAAGAAGTTCACTAACTTATCGTTTCACACGAAGTTCACTACGCAAATTCCACCTGGCTACAGAGAACCGGGGAGAAACTCACCCGGGTATGCATGCCCTTATATATGGAGCGACAAAATATAAAATTAAAAAACACTAAACCCAGTGCCCTTCAATGATTGGACAAAAACAATTGTAACGTTACAGACTGACATGTCGCGAATCAGACCAAATCAACGAATCACTCCTCGAAAATAGCGCCAATCGATTCAGGAGGGGGGTTTACCTCGACAACCCTCCAACAGCGCACGAGAGAACCAACAACATATTACACAAGACGTCGATGGATGAACTGTATTCACATAAAACACAATTAAACTACTACTATCTCAGGTCGTGGAATAGCCTTTTCAAAGGACCGCTTTACGGCAACTTCCGAAATCATGCCCCAGCATCAAGAGGTTGGCACACGCTCGTGCAATTTGCCGGTAGTGGTTCCAACACACTGTGCAGGTACTCAGCGATCGCCACCGCGGACTCCTTGGACACATGGGCATCGAAATTGTCGGCGAGGATGACACTAGGG